TGGAAGGGTTTGTGGAAATACTTTAAATAATCTCTTTGTGGATAAAATACCTATAAGTGTAAATGGAGTAGGGTTCAGACAGATCTTTGGTGATCAGTCTCATGATATCGGGCATCTGCAGCTCTGACTCGTACTGGACGTATCGTATCGTTAGGTCCTCCTCGGGCTGACAGTCCGTTCCCGAGCCTTTCAAACTGCAGGCAGCCGCTAAGGACCCGGAGAGAAGCTGCAGGGACTCCTCCTCCTCCCCTCCTTCATCCCCCTCCTCCTGCTCTTCCTCCTCCAAGCCAGTCTCTCCCGCCAGCCCATTGCGGGCTGCAGTCTTAGCAGCAGCAGCAGCGGTCGCGGTGGTGGCAGCAGGCTGGCTCCTGTCCCCTTTTCCAGGGGGGGAAGCAGCAGGAGGAGGAGAGGGTGCAGTCCTTCCCTGGGGAGGGAGGTGGTTGGCGTGGGGGGCCGAGCAGGGCGCCGCGGCGGGGGCGGCGGCGGGGGGCGGCTGCTGCTGCTGTCCCGAGCCCATTGTTTTGCTGGCTCGCTTGTTCTCCAGCCCCTCGGGGGCCGCCGCGGCCTCCGCGCCCAGGATCTTGCCCTTGAGGGAGGCCCGCAGGTGCCGCAGCTCGGGGCTGATGAGGCCGTTGAGCTGGTGGTTGTGGTGCGGGGGGGTGGTGGTGGCGGTGGTGGTGCCGGTGCTGCGGGGCCCCCTTGTCGCCGCTTCCTCCTCCTCCTCCTCGCTGCTGCTCCCGCTCCCGGCCGCCCGCGGGTCCCTCCTCTTCCTCCTCCTCCTCCTCCTCTTCGGCCTCCTCGTCCTGGGCGCCGGTGCAGGCGGCGGCGGCGGCGGCATAGGAGGCGGCGGCGGCAGCGGAGGAGGAGGAGGAAGAGGAGGGACCCGCGGGCGGCCGGGAGCGGGAGCAGCAGCGAGGAGGAGGAGGAGGAAGCGGCGACAAGGGGGCCCCGCAGCACCGGCACCACCACCGCCACCACCACCCCCCGCACCACAACCACCAGCTCAACGGCCTCATCAGCCCCGAGCTGCGGCACCTGCGGGCCTCCCTCAAGGGCAAGATCCTGGGCGCGGAGGCCGCGGCGGCCCCCGAGGGGCTGGAGAACAAGCGAGCCAGCAAAACAATGGGCTCGGGACAGCAGCAGCAGCCGCCCCCCGCCGCCGCCCCCGCCGCGGCGCCCTGCTCGGCCCCCCACGCCAACCACCTCCCTCCCCAGGGAAGGACTGCACCCTCTCCTCCTCCTGCTGCTTCCCCCCCTGGAAAAGGGGACAGGAGCCAGCCTGCTGCCACCACCGCGACCGCTGCTGCTGCT